TTTTTTTATTTACCAGAAAAAACTATTTTTTTACTACTTCCCACGAGTTATCATTTTCCATGGAGAACAGAGGCACTCTTAGGTTTAGAATACTTCTCAATTATTTTAAATTTTAACTTTTTTTATTATTTTAAAAATATATAAAATATTAATTAAAATAAATATTAAATATATTATATGTTTTTAAAATATTAAAAATTCAAAAACCTACTATTACACTATATTATATTACTTTCATAATAAGCCTTCAAAGCGCAGATTCTTTAACGTTTAGGCGGCTGTTGGTGTTGGCCACAAAAAAGTTAAATGTTGGTATATTCATTGAAGGTATCATTTCTCATTCTTCGAGTAAGTGCTTTCCTCTCCACTTAATTTTTAATTTCATTTTTCTAGACGGGAGTCACGCCATTGAAATTTCGGTTCTTTTACTTATGTATTTATTTTTTGCTCAGCAGTTCTTTTATTTATTTCTACAGCATTTCACGTGTAAAAGTTCGACAAACGAGATTTTCTTATTTAATTTTTAATTCTCATGACTTTTTGATATTCGTATGACCGTGCGATTTTCTTACTTCATAAATTCTCTTTCTATTTAAGTATATTATAAGTCAGCTAATAAGTTTAAGAGACCCTCCACTCATACTGTCGCAACTTTTCATATTACTCATAAAAAAGAGAGCCTTGCTCCCAATACGATGCCGTGAAGGAAGGAGAACTTAATTTGTATGGGAAATCCTGACTTCATATCATATATACAAATATAAATGGAGATTGTTTCGATGCCGCAAGCTAGCACTTTTCCATTATGAAAAAAATTCAGTGAACATCATTTCTTTAATCTGACTATAGGAAAAGAAAATTCGTTATTTGCTAAAGACTAATTAAATTAGCAAAAATCATGCCTTAATTACTCAATGTCTATAAGAGTCAATATATATGAAAAATGATTAGTATACATTTGATTTGATACATTTTATATTCATTCAATTTAAAATTTAAAAATATAATATAAGTACAATTTATTAAGATGATTTTTATATCTGCATATATGATTGTATATTAATTTAAGTTTGTTTGTCTTTAATTTTATATAAAAAGTAATAATTTTTTAATAAAAATATTATGCCATATATTACACCAAAATACATATTAATCAATGTTCCACATATATATTGGATCCTAGGTTATATAATAAGAAACAAATCTCACTCATCCCTTAATTCATTCCACTAATATATCATACGATTTAAATTCAGAATTTTTTATTTTTTATTTCTATTGGAAGAAAATTACCATTGAATTTCTTAAATTATGTAAAATCAATTATTATTTCTGATCAACTTTAATTGTTCAAGTTTATTTTTTTTATTTTTATACATTAATTTATATAAAATTTAACAAAATAATATATAAATTATTAATTTTTTTAATCAAAAACACTACTTAACAAGAACATTGTATAATAAAAATGAAAAATTTTAATTGTTATTCATATGTTTTTGTTAAATTTTTATCAAATTTTATTAATATTTGAAACAACAATGCTAGCTATAGTTATTATGTCAAGTATGATATAATACAATCACTACATGTCATTAAATGTATTAAATAGGTGAATACATATCAATGACATGCATGCCTAAAATAAAATGAATCAATTATATAATGAACCATTATAATTATAATGTTATAGTATTATGTGATATTATAAGTATATTAATTTTTTATTTAAAAAACCAAAAAATTAAAATAAAATTACAATTAAAGTTCAATGGAAGAAGTATACAATTTCCTTAAAAAAAAGTATATAATTTCCACTGTAAGAAGATTCGCCCAACAATATTCTTTTTTTTTTAATTATTTTTTAGCAAATAATTAATGGTGGAACATAGAAAATGAGAGTTTTACCCTTTCTCAGTTCCAAATTTCACTCCAGGATTGACGATTCATAGTTTATCATTTACTAACAACCATTTTATTGACCTAGCAAAATACAATCATTTTTTTTTATTTTTTATTTTAAATTATACAATAAGAGATAATTTTTTTTATTTTTTAATTCACCACACTCACATGTCATGTAACTTAAATTTAAGATTATTTGCTTTTATTAAAAATTAAGAAATTATTGATAAATTACTTAATTAATTAATTCAAAATACAGCCATATCTTTTGACATCTTTTTCATTTGACATGTTATATTCGCAAGGATTTGATGTAAAATCAAAATCTTGAACATGGGAAAAGGAAAAAAAAAATTGCGTTTGCACCGGTTCCACTTCATGGAATTAAGCAAATAGATTGAGTGTTTAAAGGTTATTGGGTTATTGATTCGCTCTCCTTTATATTTATTAATGTAAAAATCTTTATTTGAATTTAAGGTGAATTAAAGTTTCCTTTTTTCTTTTTTCTTTTTGATTTGCATAATAGAAAGTCACCATCTCTCATTCATTAATCCATCTTATCTCACTTGCATATTATGCGACTTGAACTCATTAAGACCTTTTACTTAAAAAAAAAAATTTCAGTGAATTACTTAAATTATTAATAAAGTTAATTAAAGTTTAAATCTTACTTTTCATAAAAAGTATGAGGACTAAAGTATCAATTTTATGTGAGTTGAGAGATCAAAGTTGGACGCAAGATAAAGGCCCTCAATTAAATTAACTGATACGTGGATAAAAACTTAATTATCGTGAGGATCAAAAAGGTCTACACTTTAACAAGAAGACTTCGAGCGAGGATCACCATTACCTACTGAACCCGGCAACATTGATTGGAAAAATTTAAAAAGACTTTAAGTAAGATTAAGAAAGGAAAATGATTCAGACAATCTTTGATTCGAGACACACTCTAACACTCAGATGATTTAATCATTAAAATATAATGTAGATGCAGCTGATTTAACTAGTTCTTTTATGCTCTACGTATGGATGCATTTTTAAGTTTTTCCCCCCTTAATTCTATCACTACTGCAGGAATGGGATTTCCGAACCGAAATATCGGTCCGGATATATAGGAAATCGGTCTGAATATATATCCGGACCGATATTGGTCCTTATAGTTGATCTGAAAAAACCTGGTACGAATAAGTCTAATATACAGACCGATGTA